CCGGCACCGGGAGACATCCTCGCTTTGCACTAGGGAGAAGCAAGGCCAGAGATGGAGGATCCTCTTCCCCCGGCTCCCGCCGTGCTGAGGCTGCAGGCAAGTTTGCAACATCTGGAGATGCACCCCAAAACCTCGTAGACTTTTGCTGTCCCCCCCCAGCACGGCCACGCTCTGCATGGCTTTCTGCTGCCTAGGAGCAACTCCGCGGACCCTCGCAGCTCCGCTCCTTCTCCGAGGTGCCAGCACACCAGGCGACTCCCCCCCAGCAGCATGTTTCACCAGCATGGAGGCTGCAGGCAAGTTTGCAACATCTGGAGATGCACCCCAAAACCTCGTAGACTTTTGCTGTCCCCCCCCAGCACGGCCACGCTCTGCATGGCTTTCTGCTGCCTAGGAGCAACTCCGCGGACCCTCGCAGCTCCGCTCCTTCTCCGAGGTGCCAGCACACCAGGCGACTCCCCCCCAGCAGCATGTTTCACCAGCATGGTATGAATTTAATCGTGACATATGTACAGGGGTGCAAGGTTTACCATGACCGTTTCGTACAGACTTATTCACAAAACCTTACAGAGCGTTCAGGCAAGAGCTCTGGCCTGGACAGGCGTAGACGCTGTGCAAAACTCAACTCTTCTTCACAAACTTCTCTCTCCAGAGAAGGTTTCCAAGGAACAGCCCAGGAATCAAGCATAATTTAAAAGAAAATACACCGTGGGGCTATTCTTACTCTGTTCTGAAGGCACGTATCACAGCCTGTGGTCATGCGCTCAAGTAGGCTGCAACATCAGCCGAGCTCAGTCTTCATCGTATGTAGCTCTGTATTTAATGAGGAGCCACCAGATTTAGTGCCAGCAAGGGCCGGGGAGGTCTGCAAAGCAGCTGTGAGCTGCTCCAAATTTACACCCCCCAATTGTAGAGGGATCCCCCAGCTTTGCTGACCATCGCCAGCATGAAGAGAAGAGTTATGCAGACAGCAGCGTCACGTTCGGGCTCGCGTACATACCAGTGACAGCGAGTTAATGGCAGCCGTTTCTGAGACGCTCCGCCGCCGGGACAGCGGTGAGACAGCACGATTTGTTTTCTTTTCTTTAAATCTCGTTGGATTAAAAGCTACACCAACCCCTTCTCTAGAATAAATATCATTGTCTTTATAGAACTGAAAGTCAGTTCTGCTTCCTTCCACCCATGTCCCTGAAAAAACGAGATGTATGTGCAGACATATAGATCTTCTCCCTTCAGAAGTTGTCCATGGCACAGAGCTGGTCAGGCTGCCAGGAGAACCAACCAGGTTCTGAAGAAATGGAGTCAGAGTTCACTTTTTTGGGTTTTTTTTGGCATTCTTAGCGATGGTGACATATTAAGACATCCCAAACCACCTCATGATTGAGAAAGGAGAGAGACTTTATTTACATAAAGTCATCTGAATCGTTGCCATCCTGTGGGAAGAAAGACAAATCAGGATCATTGTGCACATTAAAACGGAAAATGGTGAAATGGTGCATTCAGCAGGAATTGCCATTTATTCGGGTTTCCTGCCATTTCAGTACAAACACCATGAAATCAGACCAAACAGACGCATAACAGCAGCTCTGGAGCGGGAACAGCCCTGTGTGAGGCTCTGCGTTGAGAAACAGCGGTGACTATTTGCTGTCTCTGTGATGCATCCCTTTCCCGAAACTGCAGCCCATGGGCTGTGACCTGGGAGGAACCAGGGACCAGGCTCTCACCAAGCAGCCTCGTGGACCATCGCCATATCACAACCTGAGCTTCTTTCCAACGCGGGAGAAGGAAAGCAGTCCGGCATCACGTGGGGGTCAGGTGCTGAGAGGAGGAGACCCCCTGTACAGCATTTCCACCGTGCCTCTCCCTGGCAAGTGTCACTACATGGGGACAGCCTGCTCCTGCGTGTCAGGAGACGCTCATACTTCAACCCAGTTCAAGTTTCAAAGGGGATCTGCATACCAACCAGGAGGGAGATCGAGAATTCTTGAAAACCACACACTCTAAACAGTTAGTCAGGGACGAGGATGCAAAAGGTGGATTTTAAGCTGAGGGTCACTCAGAGGAGCTTCAAGATCAGTTTGCCCAAGGTCCCACCAAGGAGGAAGCTGCAGACATGCCAGACCTCAGGCAAAGCACAGGTGCATCCAGTGCACGTCAGGACCTCTTCTGAACTTCAGCCCCCAGCCCTCCTGCGATCCACCTCCTCATTTCCCTCCTGCTGGCCTGTCCTCCTCTCCGCTTTGGCTCCTCTTCCACGTCAGACTGCAGCCATGTTATACTGCTCCAGTCCCCGGGCTGACACCTGCTCTCTGCAGGCACATCCCTTCGAGCTTCTTCTTCTGCCCCTCAGCACCTACGTTCATCCCTCCCCAAACTGTTGTCCATACGCCTTCGGTTTATTTCTTGTTAAAAATGTGCATTTTCCCCCTCCCTTGAAGTAACAAGGTGGCATATGCAGGTCATGGTTGCCATTGGGGATACCTCCTCTGCTCATGAGCCAGGTTATGCCCAAACAGCTCACAAGGAGAGTCAAGTCTGGTGCCCCACTTAAAGCTCTACCTGTTCTTTCACTTGGGTGGGAAGGGGACACATTTCCAGCAGCACAGGCTCCACCTGGCTGACACACAAGCAATAGGGCCCTCTCAGAAAGCAGAGAAGAGTGGCAACGTCCTTCACCCAGAAGGGGTGACGGAGATGTGCTCCGTCATGCAGGAGTCGCCAAAACCAGACTGCAATGCGGGAGCTGTACCATCACGATCCCGCATTGAATTTCAGCCGTCTCTGAAAGGTTTCTGTGGGCATCAGCCAGCTCTTACCTGATTGGAGGACATGTTCTCAGCCTTCATTAATGATGAGTAGCTCCTGGAAGGGAAATCACATTATTTTGCATGATATGTTTTCAAAACCCATCAACAGAGAAGCGTTTTGATAAAACAGGACCAAGTACCAGAAAAACAATTTTTTTTCCTTTCTGAACTCAGGCAGGCTAGACAAGTATTTGCTTATCTCATACTCTTTGGCTAGTTAAAACAACCGGCGAAAGCCCAGGCGCTATGCAGACTGCTCCTCCACAGCACTGTTCAGGAACTACCAGTCAGATCACCCCAGGAGGTAGAAAATCCTTTACTTTGGGGGATGGCCAAGAGGCAGCTCTGGGGCAAGTTTAAGTAAGCAGGCAGACCCCTTACTCTGTAGCACAGACATGCCTGCTGGTGACTTCTCCTCAGTTTAGTTTGCTTCTCTAAGCTCTCCTTTCTGAGCTCTCCGTGTGTTAAATTACTCAGGAAATCACGGAGTTTTTCAAATTCCGGTTTCACCGTCATTTACAGATAAACACGACTTACTAAAGCTTAAAAGTGAGCTTTTGGGGCCAGCCAGCGGAAACGTTCAGTGCTGTACGGGGCCGTCAGTACTAAGGAACAAGCTCAAACATGCATGGACAGAAAGGTCAATATGACATTTCAAAACACCATCCCTCATTCTGTGTTTAAAGGAGCGTGTGATTGAGGATTCACACATGTTTTAGTTAACATCAGTGATGCAAGAGGAAGCTTAAGAGCGCTAGCGAAGGCTGAGCGCTTTCCAAGGCTCGCGCAAAGCTGGAAGCAATTGCTCCCATCCCAACGACAGAGCACGCCAAGCGGCTTGCCCAATTTCACCCAAGTTAGGGACAGGTTTGAAAAGACACAGTCCTTTCTTTTAACAATGGTTTAACAGCCAGGTTTATTTTAGGAGAAATGGGGAAAATGCACTTATTCTAAAGACAAAGGAAATCACTGGGCCATGCAGTCGTCTATGCCAGAGCAGGTCAGCTGAACACTGAGTAACACCGGGCCGACTATTAAACAGAACCGTGCTGACCCGTGACTCTCCCAGTGCCGATGAAAACTGCAGAAGTTAGAAGCTGGCACTACAATTTATTACTTACCTAAGTTCTTCCAGCTCTTTCTTCTTCTTCATCTCTTCCTTTTCCTTCCGCTTCATCTCTTGGATCTGGGCTTTTTTCTCATTTCTCTCCTCTCTGTCCCGGGCTTCCTTCTCAGCAGCCAGGTCTGGGAAGCGCTCCACTTTTGTCTTCTCTAGCCGGTTCAGGATCTCATTCACCTTCTTCTCCACTGTCAGCATTTTCACCTTTGGAGTGCAAAGAACTGTGATCCTTATAAAAAAATACTTTTATTCTGGCACTTTCTCAACGGAAAGAAAACACCCTATTCCCACTTTACACATGGCTGAATCCCACAAAAACAGATGCTAAGGAAAATCACTGCCACCGAGGCCTATTCAGCAGGTTGTGTAACAGCAAAAAGAGGCCCACTCCCAACACTCAGAAGCACATAGCTAATAAGCATAAGCATTGCTAAGTACATAAGCATTACTAATTTTGTTTCTTGGCACATGCCTCAACAAGGAGGCCAAGAGACAAGAACCGGTCTCTGCCGATTCCTGAAGAGGTGGCAGGAGGTCTCTGCAGACCGTTTTGGGAAGAGAAGCTCACGTGCTGCTTGTTGACTGCAGGGTTTTTAGCATTTCTTGCCCTGGTACAGACCTGTTTTAGTCAAACAACCACGCCTCTAGAGAGCCTTCTCTCCCAGCAGCCAAGCTACATAACTACAACTTAAGCATAACATTATCTGTGGACACTAGGTCAGGCTTGGGAATAGCTTAGTACACTGGCTTGACCCTACACCAAAGCTAAGCAGCTCTGCCTTTTAACAGGTTTAACAAATCCAGAGGCAGCACCAGGGTGAGACAGCTCTTGGAGCAGAGACAGTAGAGCGAACACAGCGACAGACACCTCCAGGACCCCACACAGCCCTCCTTTGCACAGCGAGTTCAAGTCCCGAGCACTTCCAGACGTGTGATTACACTACTGCCTGTGATCTAAAGTGACTGCTCATATGCAGGCCCTTCAGCTGTAACAAGAGATTATTACAGCGGAGATAAATTCAAGCGAATAGCACAGACTAACACATGATAGCATTCAGCATCAGCAACGACTCGTCAGCTACACCGTGCTGCAGTTTGGAAACACATGCCGTACAGGATCTGCTACAGGCTGACCCTCAACCACGGATTTTCAGGTGACGTTCAGGCAAGTCCAAACACGCCCCTGGGATCTCTCTTACCCTTCAGGAGTGGATGATTCCCTGGCTTTAGGGCAAATGCTGAAGACAATCCACCCAGCTCCTAACACAGAAACGTTACAGTCTGCCACCAGGTCACCGTCACTGGCTTGCAGCAAACACTTACATCCTTCTGCCTGTGAAAGCCGATCTGCCCCACATCCATATCTGCAGTCTTCTTCAGGTTAGTCCATGGCGTGTACACCACGTTGACGTTGTTCATCTTGCAACCTAGGAAGCAGGGGAGAAAGAAAGGAGGGAAACATTTCAATTCTCTCTCTGCTGAAAGAGGTCTTAAAAGTCTTCCATGCGCATGGAAACTGGCAGTTATTCTTGTCACAAACATTACTAGCTAGGCAAGAAAGAAGAAAACGGAGAAGTCCTTCCAGTGTTACAGTGAAACGGAAGAACACCACGACATCATTTTCTGCAGTAACACGAGCGCTGCAGCAGCGTTAACGAACTCCAGATGGAGACTGTCTTTGCCAGAAGAGCGATTACTATGGAAGGGGGCCCCAAGGTGGTGTTAGAGAAGAGACTGCAAGGCCTCCTTGGCTCAGACAGCACATGGAGGCACAAACGGGAATTTCAGAGATTTAAAATTCCTCTTTACGAAAGTATAACGGGCAGCCCCAGCAGCTGCAAGCGACATCTGCTTCCCGTAAGACCCGCAGGCACAGGCTTAACAGAGAGCACCACAGCAGAAACGTCACAAACGTCTGATCCAAAAAACATGTGCTCGTGCGGACCAGAAACACTCGCCACCTCACACCGACCTCCCGGGAATCAGTATTACCTTGAATGCTATTCGCCTTCACTAGATGGGCACAGTCTATCAAAACTTCTTTAGGAATGTCATCCACCGTCTGCCCCTGTGACAGAGCAAGGCAAGGTGAGCGGCTCGCGGCGGGGGGCTGTAGGGACTGACGAGCACACAAAGACCCGCCACGGCCGGGATGCAGGGCACGATGCTCTGCAAACACACCCAGGACCTCTACGCTCCATGTTTTACAAGACTGGAGTCTTCCGTGGCATTTGTAAGGAGAGGCTTGAAGCACCGCAAGCGATTTGCACCCTGCTTTTCTCAAAGGTATTCTCCCCGTTTTAGTGCGGTGATGGTTCCTAGACGCACGCTTGGGGTCAAGCCAGAAACCAATTGTTCTGTTGGGCCACATTAAAATTCCTGCTCCTCTCCACGTTATTTGGTAATGGAGGCTGTAAATTCATCTCACCACACTGGTGGTTACCTGCACCCTGAGGGAGCCCTGCAGACTTTGCACGTGAGCAAAGATGGTCTTGTGCGCAGGAATCACTTGCAGAACGGGCGCGTGCAGTTCTTATGCGGGTGAATATTAGTGTTTTTAAATATACGTGTCACAGGATTACCTTGTGTAACCGAAGGTACACATGCGCGGAAGAGAGCTTATCCACATGAAACCTACAGAATAAAAAAAGCACATTTAACAGAGGATAAGAGATGGTGATCTGTTCTGAAAGATTTACTTCCTAACGATCATAGAATCACAGAATGGTTTGGGTGGGAAGGGACCTTTAAAGGCATCTAGTCCAACCCCTTGCCATGGGCAGGGACATCTTCAACTAGACCAGGTTGCTCAGAGCCCCGTCCAACCTGACCTGGAATGTTCCCAGGGATGGGGCATCCACCACCTCTCCGGGCAACGTCTGCCAGGGTTTCACCACCCTCATGTAAACAATGTCTTCCTTCTATCTAGAAATACCCTAATCTCCCCTCTTTTAGTTTAAAACCATTCCCCCTTGTCCTGTTGCAACAAAAAAGTCTGTCCCCATCTTTCTGATAAGCCCCCTTTAAGTACTGAAAGGCCGCAATAAGGTCTCCCTGGAGCCTTCTTTTCTCCAGGCTGAACAACCCCAACTCGCTCAGCCTTTCTTAAGAGGAGAGGTGTACCATCCCCCTGATCATTTTTGTGGCCCATTAGGGCATTTGCCCTAATGACAAGTGACAAAACAGCCCCTCCATGGACAACAAAAGTATAGAAATGTTCGTGATATATGTGTTTAAAAGCAGGCAAGGGAGCCAGAGCCTATCCTTCAAGAAACATCAGTCCTCTCAAGGGGAGACTGAAAAAAAACCCCAACCCTTTCTCCCTCTCTTTTTTTCTTTTAAATGCTATATCACATGCAGGCAACACTCACAGGATGAGCCTACACATGTGGTGTTTTGGTCTGCCTATTTATTCTTAAGAGAAACAGCAAACTCGTGAACTCTGCAGCAGGCACTGCTAGTTACACCACTTACATGACTGGTCTGAAGCTCACAGAGCAAAAAAAAAAAAAAAAAATCCCATTTTCTCAGTGGTCAGTAGAATGGTCCCTGGAGCCCAGTGCTCTGTCTCCAACAGCAGGAAGCGGCGATGCTGTCTGGGAAGTGCCCCGGATCCAGTGGTTTCAGTGGGTACCAGTCCCGACAGCAGGTGAACACCAGTTCTGCGTTCACTTCATTCATAAGCCCCGATCACCCCCGCTCAGCCCTCTCCCCGCCAGACTGAAGAGCGCTCTCCTCTCCAGTCCCTCCTTACAGCACGGCTGTTCACCTCCTTCACAGCTCCAGCTGCCCTTCTCCAGACCTCTTGTAACTTGACGGTGTTTTTACCATGATCACCTATTTTTTTAAGCCCTGTCCTGATCGACACTCACTCCAACCCTGCAATCTTCCAAGGACAGAGGGGAGGAACTGATCTCATGTCACCTCCCAACCTTTCTTTCCACCACTTTCTTTTTAATATAACGGGACTTTCTCCTTCCTGCTGCAAGATAGAAAACGCTCCAGCACCAATATACGACCTCTCACTTGTAGCTCCTGAGCCCCCTACCCTCATTCCACTAGACCCCTCTTAAGCAGGAGGGGTCTAAAGGTCTAAAGGGTGCCAGACATCATTAGGAGAACAATTCCCAGGAGGCCACCGCAAGAGGACCTATGATATTTTGTTGAGATGGCACTAGGATATGAAAAAAACAACATCGATGATGTTGGTGTGAGCTACAATATACGAAAGAGATGGGGAAAGACAACTTTCATGGTTCAGGCAATTTGAGGATGAATCTCAAGGTCACTCCTAAGTAACAGTATAGACATACCTTAAATTATGTAGTGATAGGACAAACATGAGACAGAAAATGAATGTGATACTGCTACTACAAAGCATTATTCAGCTGAAGTACAATCTCTTCTGCTAGAAAGGAAAAAATACCCCCTTGCCAGTTAGCTGACTGCTGACAAAACATCCTCTACGGGGCATGTTAGCTACCACCTATTGAACCTCCAGTTCTACCAAGACACCTCAGCTCATCCTGGCAAAGGCCACCCTGAAGAGCAAGAAGGAGCACAATCCACGTGGTGATTCTTGTCAGAAGCTGTTAGCAAAGGAGAGGGCAGCAACTGCGATACATCTGGCCTGTGCGATACTGCCTGAAAGCAAGCAAACTCCTTCCCAAAAATCTCAAAAACCTTATCAGTCTGGAAAGTTTATGGACTACTCCAGCCAGCAAAGATGCCACCAATTGCTGCTAGAAGGACTGGGGACTCCCCGTTTCTTGTTTTTCTCTTCCGAACCAAAACCAATTGAGACATGTCAGAGCGCTTCCTTTTGCCTGCCTGGCCACGGCTGTCACCCAACAGGAGTCAAAATGTCAAACTCCTCTGCTCCTGCTCACCGACTCCAGCTCCCGAGACAGCAACGGCTGTTTTACAGGACAGGCCAGCACTCGCCCACAGCGCACACAGGGGGGACACGAAGCACACACAGAGGAAAAGGCACTGGGAGACAACAGTTTTTTCCAGGCACAGCATTTACCATAGCTCAAAAAACTTCTGGCTCCATCCCCAGGCCCTGTCTGACTGCTCCATGATTTCACACCTTGGTACCTCCACTCTCCTTATCCTCTGTTAGTCTTTTGGCTTTGCTTGTCCGTGCATGGGGATTCCCAGGACTTGCTTGACTCAGGAGATGCTCTCTCACAAATACCAAGCTGCCCTTCTCGCTTAACTCTGCCCATTTCCCAAACACACTAGCCAGCACCTATATTCTGAAACACAAATATCCATGTATGGAGTTATCGCTACTCCAGCCCCTCCCTGCACAGATAAACCCCAAAAAGCTTCACAAAGGGGCCAGCTCTTATGATGAACAAAGCGGGGGATGAAGGGGGAGATACAGGGGAATGAATTCAGAACCAACAGGGTCCCAACAGCTGCACTTGGGTCTGCTGCAACCCACCTCCACCCTGGGATTGCATTTAAACTGCTAAGTGGCCTTGGAAAAAAGAGACTCTGTGGAAGGGAGAGGGTTGTTACAATCACTCGACTCAGCTGCACAACGAAAGGCAACTTGTTTCAGCAAGTTTGAGTACCTACCAGATATCTTCAGGCCAGCCATACTTTATTAGGTCTTCATCTGTAGGAATAAAAACATTAATGAGCAAAGCCCAGGACCTCATCAACAAGAAATCAAACTACCTGACAAGAGCAGGAACCCTCCGCTGTCGGTCAGCCACTGTGCAGCGATCGAGCAGAAATAGAAAAGGGCTTCAACGCTGCACCTGCCTGCTCACAGGTATGGCAGAAACAGGTACGCCAGGAACAACTCCATCACATAATTTTGAAATTTTTAAGTGAAAATATATTTCTTCAAACACCAGACTGATGGGGGGAGACTTTCAGGGCAAGTCTTCAACTACTTTTCCTTTGGAGTGAGACACCCTGGGTTTCACATCAACTACTGCTGTGGAAACAGGAGGCGCAGAGAACTGTAACCTTCACCGTGAGGGAAAGGACGGGCATGGGAAACCTACGGAGTATGAATGCTCACTGGAGAGGGGAAAAATACACACTGAGCAGAGAAACTAAAGGTTGGTTTGCAAAAAGTTATCAAACACAACCTGACAAACAGTATTTTTCTCTAGACAGTTTTTTTTTTTTCCAGTTAATTTAGTTTTCACTTGTATTTGAAGGCAGTCACTCTGCCTAGAGGATTTACAAAATTTATTTATCCTAACTAAAAGTAACACAGTGGATTTCAGAGGGGTAAGTCGGAATCACCTGCAAGGGTGAACAAGTTTTCAAACAATATAGTCAATTAACACATACAAAGACATCCTTTCAAAATGACCTTAAATCCCCACAAATCTAAATCTAATCTAACTAAATCTAAGTTAGGCATCATTACATTAACGTACTTACTTTCGTACTTATCTTTTCCCATGTAAATGGTGTAAACGGAAGGAACGACTGAGGGATAGAAAAAGGAAAACAAATCAAAAGGGGTTTGGACAAACTGTGCAAGGAATGACAAACACACCAGCCTTTGTCACAGAAATTAGAATGAAAACTGCTTCATCCATCCATCCCACTTCCCTCCTGGGGGCCAAAGGAAGATTGTTTTGCGTTTCCTCCAGATTTTGTCCCGAATGCTTCAAAGGACTTTGGAAAGTGGCATTTCCACCACTTTCCATGGAAGATTATCCAGCAAGGAGCAGCCTTCTAGGCAAAACACCCTCAACATCCAGGTGGTTCAGATCTGTGTAATTATATTAGCTGTCCAATTAAGCACATGTCTGCGAGCCAGAAAGGCTGACATCGTATTTACAGCCTGGGATTAACTCTCTGTGTGGCCCCGAGTGAAACAGCTCACCTGCCTGGCCCTTGCTTCCCCAAAGTACCAGAAGCCCATCGTGAACCTCCCCCAGGTAGCCTGGGAGGATTAAAATTTGCAAGACAATGGAAAGACCGAAGTTCCATAAACTCGTTTGTCTCATCTGTGCCCTTTTGGGACACTTAAAACAATGTCCTTCTCTTCTTTAGGGCTCATTCCATCACGCAGTGAAGACACTGCCTATTCTGGGAAACCAAACAAGTGTCCCTTCAGCGTCTGGACCAAAGGCCCGCACAGCTGGGAGACGGACACAGAGCAGTCAGGGAAGTCCTGTTGAAGAAACCACTGAGCAACCTGCTTAAAAAACCCCAAATGCTCTGTTCTTGTCCATGGCAGCAGGGAAATCCCAATTTCACAGCAAAGCTATCTACCAGTTGGCACGTTTCTAGCTTCTACAATTTTTAACAATTATGTTGTGAGCGAGCAAACGCTGCAGCCGTAGCTACAAGCCTCAGCGCTGCACTGAAATTTAGCTGTTCTTCACGAGGACCTACAGCACCTGCACACTTCAGCACGAAGGATTACTGGGAGCGGGTTTTCAGCAGACGGCTTCACGCCGTAACGGCCAGAGGCTGAAACAACCTGCTGCAGCAACACAGATTTGTATTTTTCACATACTGTTGCAGAACAAACAGAATTCATAGTGGCATTTCTAAAGTCACCCGCTGATAGTGCAAAAATTCAAGACTAAGAGCAAACAAATGAAATGCAGGTGACCAAATCTGCTTCCAAAAAGCATTCTTTGAAAATACGGTGCCTAATCTCGTATTTTCAAAGTCACTAAAATAGGAGATGCACTTCACTTACGTGCTACAATGCAATGACTTGGATCCCAAATTGCTTACTGACCCAGTCCTCTCTGAGGGCATTTTTATCGGAAATCCTACATCACTAGCACGAAGCTCAGATAACACTTTTCAAAGGAAACCTATTGCTATTTTAATTACATTTAGTAATGAGGCTACAAGAAACGGAAATTCAAAAATATGAAAGGATGATATGCCTGTGGGAGTTAAAGATTGGAAAAAAAATCCACCCTGGACACAGGAGAGTCCAGAGAATGTGAGATCATGACTACAGGCACTACCATACGTGTAAAATCAAATGCTCAAAAATAAAGTTGCATTAGTGATGGTTCCATGAAAATGAAGCCCATCCTGCCAAAACAGTGGGGGAACACTGACACAACTGAGCAGGAGATTGCTTCCAACCCATATGATTTAACGCACACCAGTAACAGTGCAACACATTTGAGGCAAACTGCAACAGTCTTCTTATTGTAGACCTCCCTCTGGCAGCAAAACTGATTATAATGTGTCAGAAACCCTCTGCAGAACTATCGTTTAAAAACACAGAAGATTGTTCACATCATTAGCAGAGTTAACTGCAGCTCATCTGTTCCTAGTACCCCCCAGGTTCCCCTACACATCTGCCAGGCACCATACCAGGCTCTTTTCTCCTCACTAAAAGGCCTGCGTCCAGGAAAGTCTCTGAACTTCTCACTAGCAGCCTGATGATCCGCAGAAAATGTTTCCATCTGAGCGTCAGGTTAAGTGATCAACACGGCCAGTGTATCTGTTCACCAGGTGTGTAAAGGGCCTTGCTTTCCACAACAGAGGAAAATAAGTTTTTAAACAAATCCCAAGAACAAATTTGTTTAAGAAACATTCACAAGACTGTTAACTCTTGCCTTGTCCAAGGAAAATCAAGGAGCCAACACTCAAATCCTTCTCATGAAGGAACTTCTTCTCTAGAACTGAGGAAAGCAACGCAAAAAAATTCTAGCTTGTGGATACAGTGGGCAAGGGGTAAAAAACATACCAAAACTTTCACAAACAGGTTACACACCTGTGAAATGACTGGGGGCAAACCAAAAAGGAATATTCCTGTACTATCCTCCGTATCATCAGCCCGTGCTGCATCAAACCACAGATTTCTGATGCTTCAGAAGCGGCTAACCTTTTCATACGGGCAAGCAAAAGAGATCTGCCTATATCAAAGGAAAAATAACGAGACAATTTACGCATTAAGCCTTCCCCCAAACTCCTGACAGCAGTACACTTGAGAAAGCTTTTCAGCAGTCACTCATCGGTATTGCTATTCACCCAGTGCTGTCACCAACCCATAACAAGAGGCTCCTCACCTCAGAGAACCCCTTCCCTCCTGAAATGACTTTAAGCTGTAGCCGATTCCACCCCAAACCGCGTCCTTTACCCTCACCCCAGCCCAGGGGCTCGCAGAAAGGCACCCACAGGACTCCCGGGGGTGTTTAGAAGGGTAAGGGCAGGAGGACGTGCAGTTACCGGACGGCCCCGCTCACTGAGGAACGGGGCAGAGGCGCAGCCCGGCGCCCCCCTCACAGCGGCGGGACCCAG